CGCCGGGGCGTGGATGGGTACGTGGGACGGGAAGGCTGCCTGGGAGAGGGGAGCTGCGACGTCGGCAGTGGTCGCGCGGCACGTCAGCTTCCGAGGGGACGTCCGGCCCCCTTCTATGACTCAGATGAGAAAAACCGCCGAGGGCGTTCCAGACGACTCACTGCCAGTTTCAATTTAAAAATTAAACGTGGAAGTAGAAAATTCATTGATGTTTCTGACGAAGGATCCCACCACATCCCTCTTTCCCCCCAAGCAGGCGAGGATTCTGAGACCCCGCCACCCGTTCCCGCTCCCACGCAGGTACGCCCGCAGTCCCTGGGCTCAGGGGCTTCTCCCGGGTCCTGTCCCCTTCCCCATCGCTTCTCTTCGGCACTGCCATTCCTTCTCTCCCGCTCCTCCTCCCGCCACCGCTTCTACCCTCCCCATCTCTCCGCCACGGTATTCCCCCCTCCCCCGTGGCCCTCCCCGCCCTCTCCCGGCCCAGGAAGCCAGCGGACGCGCACCTTGGGCATCTCCTCCGCTGGTCAGCACGCCGATGGCTTTGCCAGCCCCGGAGAGGTTCTCCAGTAACTTCCGGAGGGGAGCCGAGGAGGCTTTGTCGTCCATGTCTGAGAGTCCGAGGGACACCGGCTCGCTCGGTGCGCAGCAGACAGTGAGGACCCGGCCCGCGCGCGCCCGGCTCGGAACCACAGCCCCGCAGCAGGGGGTGGGGTGGAGGAGCCCCGCTGGGGCCCGGGTGCTCTGCCGGTAGGGGAGCCTCGCAGGTGGGCGGGGTTCTGCTGGTGGCCAGAGCTCCAGAAGCCCGAGAGCGGCGTAGGTGGTGGTGGCGGGGTGAAGGAGCATCACAGAGAACGAATTATAGCGGGGTGTGGGGGGGGCGAAGTGCTAGCGGGAGGAAGTGCAGCAGGTGGAGGGAGCGTCGCGGGCGGGGAGACCGCCAGGACTCGGAATCACAGCGGTGGGGGAGAGCGCGTAGTCTAGGCGGGTTGGAATCGGGGAGCGCCGCAGGTGGGGGCTCCGGGCTTTTGTGGAGACGGATCCATGGTAGAGGCGAGCTCTGCGTCCCTCAGGATTCCTCTCCGAGCCTCCCGGCGCCCGAGAATTTGTCGGGGCGTGTGTATTGGGGGGCGGAGGGGAGGGAGTTACCATTCTGGCCTGAGGTCAGGGAGGAAGGATGGTGAGCGAATCCTCCAGAGAGTAG